GAAGTAGAACTACTGAGTATCAGATTTTATTCTAATAATAACAAGTTTAAAGTAGAACTACCGGGTATCAGGTTTTATTCTAATAATAACAAGTTTCAAGTAGAACTACCCGGTATAAGGTTTTATTCTAATAATAAAAAGCTTCAAGTAGAACTACCCAGTGACAGGTTTTATTCTAATAATAACAAGTTTCAAGTAGAACTACCGGGTATCAGGTTTTATTATAATAATAACAAGTTTCAAGTAGAACTACCCCGGTATCAGGTTTTACTCTAATGATAAAAAGTTTTAAGTAGAACTACCCGGTACCAGGTTTTATTCTAATAATAACAAGTTTCAAGTAGAACTACCCAGTATGAGGTTTTATTCTAATAATAACAAGTTTCAAGTAGAACTACCCAGTATGAGGTTTTATTCTAATAATAACAAGTGTAAAGTAGAACTACTGGGTATCAGGTTTCATTCTAATAATAACAAGTTTGAAGTAGAACTACCAAGTATCAGGGTTTATTCTAATAATAACAAGTTTCAAGTAGAACTACAGGGTATAAGGTTTTATTCTAATAATAACAAGTTTCAAAGGGAACTATCGGGTATCAAGTTTTATTCTAATAATAACAAGTTTGAAGTAGAACTACCAAGTATCAGGGTTTATTCTAATAATAACAAGTTTCAAGTAGAACTACCCAGGTATCAGGTTTTATTCTAATTAACAACAAGTTTCAAGTAGAACTACCGTGAGTCAGGTTTTATTCTAATAATAACAAGTTTCAATTAGAACTACCTGGAATCAGGTTTCATTCTAATTATAACAAGTATCAATTACAACTACCGGGTATCAGGTTTTATTCTAATAATAACAAGTTTCAAGTAGAACTAGCCGGTATCAGGTTTTATTCTAATAATAACAAGTTTGAAGTAGAACTACCGAGTATCAGATTTTATTCTAATAATAACAAGTTTCAAGTAGAACTACCGGGTATCAGGTTTTATTCTAATAATAACAAGTTTCAAGTAGAACTACCCCGGTATCAGGTTTTATTCTAATAATAAAAAGTTTCTAGTAGAACTACCCCAGTATCAGGTTTTATACTAATAATAACAATATTCAAGTAGAACTACCCCGCTATCAGGTTTTATTCTAATAATAACAAGTTTCAAGTAGAACTAGCCGGTATCAGGTTTTATTCTAATAATAACAAGTTTCAAGTAGAACTACCCGGTATCAGGTTTTATTCTAATAATAACAAGTTTCAAGTAGAACTACCGGGTATCAGGTTTTATTCTAATAATAACAAGTTTCAATTTGAACTACCCGGTATGAGGTTTTATTCTAATAATAACAAGTTTCAAGTAGAACTACCCGGAATCAGGTTTTATTCTAATAATAACAAGTTTCAAGTAGAAATACTCCAGTATCAGGTTTTAATCTAATGATAATCAGTTTCAATTAGAACTACCCTGGTATCAGGTTTTACTCTAATAATAACAAGTTTCAAGTATAACTACTCTGCAATCAGGTTTTATTCTAATTATTACAAGTTTTAAGTAGAACTACCCAGTATAAGGTTTTATTCTAATAATAAAAGGTTTCAAGTAGAACTACACCGGTATCAGGTTTTATTCTAATAATAACACGTTTCAAGTAGAACTACCCAGTTATCAGGTTTTATTCTAATAATAACAAGTTTCAATTAGAACTACCTGGAATCAGGTTTTATTCTAATTACAACAAGTATCAATTAGAACTTCCGGGTATTAGGTTTTATTCTAATAATAACAAGTTTCAAGTAGAACTAGCCATTATCAGGGTTTATTCTAATAATAACAAGTTTCAAGTAGAACTACCGGGTATCAGGTTTTATTCTAATAATAACAAGTTTCAAAGAGATCTACCGGGTATCAAGTTTTATTCTAATAATAACAAGTTTCAAGTAGAACTACCAAGTATCAGGGTTTATTCTAAAAATAACAAGTTTCAAGTAGAACTACCCGGTATGAGGTTTTATTCTAATATTTGCTAGTTCTACTTGAAACTTGTTATTATTAGAATAAAACCTAATACCCGGAAGTTCTAATTGATACTTGTTGTAATTAGAATAAAACCTGATTCCAGGTAGTTCTAATTGAAACTTGTTATTATTAGAATAAAACCTGATAACTGGGTAGTTCTACTTGAAACGTGTTATTAATAGAATAAAACCTGATACCGGTTACCCGGTAGTTCTAATTGATACTTATTATTATTAGAATAAAACCTGATTCCAGGTAGTTCTATTTGAAACTTGTTGTTAATTAGAATAAAACCTGATACCTGGGTAGTTCTACTTGAAACTTGTTATTATTTGAATAAGACCTGTTACCCGGGAGTTCTAATTAATACTTATTATTATTAGAATAAAACCTGATACCGGGTAGTTTTACTTCAAACTTGTTATTATTAGAATAAAACCTGATACCCGGTAGTTCTAATTGAAACTTGTTATTATTAGAATAAAACCTGACTCACGGTAGTTCTACTTTAAACTTGTTAAACTTGTTATTATTAGAATAAAACCTGATACCGGCTAGTTCTACTTGATACTTGTTATTATTAGAATAAAACCTGATACCCGGTAGTTCTAATTGATATTTGTTATTATTAGAATAAAACCTGATTCCAGGTAGTTCTACTTGAAACTTGTTATTATTAGAATAAAACCTGATACTGGGTAGTTCTACTTGAAGCTTTTTATTATTAGAATAAAACCTTATACCGGGTAGTTCTACTTGAAACTTATTATTATTAGAATAAAATCTGATACCCGGTAGTTCTACTTTAAACTTGTTATTATTAGAATAAAACCTCATACCGGGTAGTTCTACTTGAAACTTGTTATTATTAGAACAAAACCTGATACCGGGTAGTTCTACTTGAAACTTGTTATTATTAGAATAAAACCTGATACCTGGTAGTTCTACTTTAAACTTGTTATTATTAGAATAAAATCTGATACCCAAGTAGAACTACCCGGTATCAGGTTTTATTCTAATAATAACAAGTGTCAAGTAGAACTACCGGGTATCAGGTTTTATTCTAATAATAACAAGTTTCAATTTGAACTACCGGGTATGAGGTTTTATTCTAATAATAACAAGTTTCAAGTAGAACTACCCGGAATCAGGTTTTATTCTAATAATAACAAGTTTCAAGTTGAACTACCGAGTATGAGGTTTAATTATAATAATAACAAGTTTCAAGTAGAACTATCTGGTATCAGGTTTTAT